TGCGCCAGGGCGGGGATCGCTGAAGAGAGGAGGAGAGCAGGGCTGCAGAGAGGGGGAGAGAGGGTGAAGCCTTGGGCGAGTTACAGAAATGCCTGTCTGAGAAATGGGGTTGCTCGTCGGGGTCTGCGTTCGCACGGCGTTGGTCAGAACAGCGGGCGTCAAACGGGCGGTGGTCAAAACGGCCGCTTCTTCAACGGGCGTGCGCCCTGCTCGCCCCCGCTAACGCGTTCTGCTTGTGCAGGAGTGCAGGAGAAGACAAGGGCCAGGCATCCCAAACGACCTTTGTGGTCGTGGAGGCCGGATTTCTGACTGGAGCTAGGGGGTATTTGACGTCTCTGCACACACATGTGGGTTGCATGCCACCGGGCTAATTTACAGCCACAATAAAATAAACCAATAAAAAATCTGTTGGACGGTGTTGCCAGACTGTAACTTTCAAAAGGTAGTAATCCTTTTGTAGCAAATCACTGCTCTTTTGTATGCGCATCTGTCACTGGCGAGGCAAATTTTACATATTTAAATGGCTTGCCAGTAAAAAAGGAGAGCAGGTTTGTGGAAAGCTAATATGGACCTGACTCTAAAATAACACCATGCTTGAGGTGTGAGTTTAATGTTTGGTGAGATATATCTTCCCAAGCATCCTTTTACATATTGTGTAGCCTCTTTCTTACCCATGAGACCTGAAGCCTTTAATGTTAATTGTGTTTTTAGCCACGGTGGAATGTAGGGATTGTTTGTTGACACATATTTCTTCTGTGGCGAGTTGTTAGTATTGGTGTGTTACTGTAGGGGTGTTCAAGTATTGACTTCTTGTTTTTATGGATTGTGAAAACATTTTTTTGAGGAAACAACTATACAAACTGTTTGTTTTCAAAATAAGGCCTTTGAAATTGTCTATTCATAAATTTCTCTCCTTCACCCTCAAGTTTTTTGTGGTGCAACCTCAATAAAGGATGTTGGAGTTGTTGAGACAGCGTATGCGTGCGTTCCCACTGCTACCCAGATTTAGTACGAGAAGACGTAAACTGTGCTGCGGCCTGTAGAACACACTAGGAAGATCTCAGACACGTTTGGGCTGTTCTGCATCTTTGGCCAGGTAACGGGGTTGGTAGTGTAAACCCTACAGCAGAGGCTCTCTTAGGGCCTCCACCACCTCTCTGGGCAACCCCTGCCAGGGTTTCACCGCCCTCATTATAAAGAATTTCTTCCTTAGATCCAGCCTAAACCTACCCTGTTTTAGTTTAAAACCATCCCCCCTTGTCCTGTCACTGCTGGCCCTACTAAAAAGATTTTCCCCATCTTTCCTATAGGCCCCCTTTAGGTATTGAAAGGCCGTGATCAGGTCTCCCCGCAGCCTTCTCTTCTCCAGGCTAGTCTCGAAACTGGGGTGAAAATTGTTATTCTTGCATGGTCTTGGAAACGGAGATGATGGAAGATGAAGAGCTGCGAGCGGGTGATAAGGACTGGGACCCGTAAATTCTCTTATTTAAACAACAGTCTCAAATGTAACTACGGCGTGCATGAGGGTGGCAATCTGTTGTCTGGAGACAGAAGTAATTCTATAGGCAGTGACTCAGTAAGCTGTCGGTCAGATTTTTGTTTGCTTTTTTCTTCATCAACCAAATTTTTGTTCCTCTCTGAGTTTTAAATACTTGTGAAAAATGGGGAATTAAGAGAAAACTTAGGTGAATCTTGGCTGTCTTAGCAAGCGTTAGTAGTAAATATGGGCTTTTCTCATCATCTTGTCTTCAAACTGGCTTTTGTTAATGTCGCAAATAGGTAATTACAGATGCAGTTGCCACTAACCATAACAAAATCGTGTCTCTAATTTCTACCTTGTGTGCCTGAGAATGTCCTCCAAAGAAATTATTTTCTGTGTGTTCTGTAAGTAGTACTTAGGCTTAAACTACAGTAACATTTTGGGTTTAAATGTAGTGATCTACAGTTCTAGTCTGCTGTTCTTCACATCGCTGCTCGAAGGCTGTGCGGAGCTGTGATTTGGCATGGTGACTGCCACTTGGCAGGGTAGTTTGTAAATCCCACTGTGGAGTGAAAAGTACTTCTTGTGTTAGGAAAGCAAATGTTTTCCTGGAGAAGTGGAGCCTCCTTGAGAAGCCAGTGATCGGGAACTGACTTTGCAATACTGCACATGTTGTTGTAATTAAGGCACAGCCTTTCCTGGATCCTGAAATAATGTAATAAATAATTGTGTTCAGAAACAGGGGATGTGTTGAATTGTTTCCAACCATAAAAGATAGAGTTGCTAAGGATTGGAGTGGAGTTGGGCTGGGGATGCGGAGCCATATCAAGGCGTGTTAGGAAATTCGGCAGTTAGGTGTTGTGTGTACCTGTGCTGAGTTACCAGCCTGCTTTCAGTTTAATTTACTACTCTGCCTTTCAGTCTTAACCTTATGCTATCAGTGAAGCTGTGGCAAATAGGTACAGTGTGGAACCTTCATCTTGATTTTCCTGGCAGCCTTATTTTGACATAAACCCACTTTTCCCTGTGCCATTTCATTCTCCGGGGTGAATTCTGCACTAACCCTCGATGGGCCGGACCCGTCTTTATTCTGAAAGCCCAGGCTTTCCTGCTGGCTCCATCTGTAGATATGATGTTGTTTATAAGATGCAGGATGTCTTAACTGTGTTCTGACTTTAAGATTCAACCCTTGGAAGTGCTTTGTAGCTTCTATTTTTATTCCAGTCCGTGGGAAATTAAGCAGGGACATTACAGGATCAGACTTGTTAATGTGATGGTATCCACCAGCAACGAAATTTAGAAAAGGTGACATTTGTGATACGTGTTTTACAGATAAGGAGCTGTGTCGTCAGCTTACTTAGTTGCTTACAGCGACTGGTTCTCTCCTCTCAGGGGAAGAGCTCAGAGGTCGCTTCCGATCACTGAAACTGTTGATTCTAAGGTTACAGCCCCATATATCCTTGCAATAATGTATAACGCAATTGTGTTGATTCTTTGATGATTGAAAAATGACAAATAATGAATACATCTAAAAATAAAGCTGTAGTTTGTGTTGCCTGGGCTCTCATGGTTGAAACTCTGACAGCTGCATAAAGCGTTGGATCCAAATGATTCATAATGAATCTGTGTGACAGTTCCTGTAAGAGGAATTCCTATCCGCCTGCTCTTAAATATTTGGTATTTACAGAGCTTTTCTTGTAAAACACTATCACTAACTACCAAAAAGTCAAAATTATAAATGTATATGATCCAGGCATTCCCGTAAGTTATGTGTTTTAATTTTGCTATACAATAACCTACTTTGAGACTCCATGCTACTGTTTCATCTCCGGTCAGTATGGGATGCTCTGCTGTGACATGGTTATGGCAGGAGAGATTCAGAGGAGGAACTGCACTGTCTGAAATACGTGGTCTGTACAGAAGCTCAGACTGATAAATATACTGTCCCCTGCATTGCTGTGGCTTCCTTTGCTCCCTTCCGTCAGCGTGTCACTGGGGCAGGACCTGCCGATGGTGCCGTGCGGTGCTGCAGGGTAGGAAGGCCAAGCCAGTCTTAGGCTCTGCAGTCTTTATCTGTCGAATACCAGTGTGTCTGTTTTGCCATCCTTCTGGGTGAGGTTCAAGTCCTCATTCTTTCCATTGTGTGAATTAATACTCTTTTGATTATACTTCTTTAGGGAGTACTTTGAGGAGTGGCTTTTTAGGCATTCCTTTGGTATCAGCAAAAGAACTTCCTTTTCAACTGCACTTGTAGGTGCAGCTGGTTCTTGCACAGAAATTAATTTTCTTGGTGTGTTGAAAACCAGCAAGCAATTGTGATTTAAAGCAGTAGGAATCCAGTTGGGGATTGGGATTATGAGCTGAATGGGGAAATTTTTAACAGAAGAGGAACATGAGAAGTACTGTTTTGTGTCTTTTTTTTCATGGAGGCAACGTACCATCTCTGTTTTCACCCTTGCCCTAAGAGGAATCCTAACCGAGAAGCGGGAGTCCCAACTGACAAATGTCTAGCTATGGAGATGCAGAATAATTTTATAACTGGGAAAGCTTTTAGAGACAAGATAGTAAAAATAACACCCTCAAAATATTTTACATGGGGCAAATGAAAGTAGGAGTTGCCTATTTATCAACCAGGCTTAGACAATTGATGCTTAAAGTGCCATTTGGACACTGGGCATGTATAATTTAAAAAATATAAACTTGATTTGCCTGTTGTATTTGCAGAATTCCACGCTCATTGAATGTAATACGAAAGCTGTTGTAAAAATCCAGCAAGCAAAGGAACATTGGACAAAAGCATGGAAGCCTTATTTCTGTGAAGCAGGTGCAACAGAGTTGTAGACTCTGAGCTAGCCAAGCTTGGAAAAAGAGGGAGGTTTTGGGCCGAGTTCTGTGCTTGGAAA